ACAAGCATAAAATAAGGGGCGTGGGATATAGCCTGTGTGGATAACTGAAAAAATTCACTGTGTGAGAATAAAGAGTGTTATGTAGAAGAGGGAAGTGGACCTTCAACTGTCAGGTAAGGGTCACATCATAAAGTGCATTACACTTTATCCTGGTATGTTTCAGAAAGGTTACTTTGCTAACAGAATGGAGGGAGGATTAAAATGAAGTAACACTAGAGATTGAAACTAGTAAGGAGGTTATCACATGAAGAGAGATGAGGGCCTGAACTTGAGAAGCATCAGTGGAAATGGGGATAAAGCAACCAATTTAAACAATATCCAGAAAGTAAACTATGTGACAGGCATCGCAGGTTCCCAGCAAATTGCCATTTCCAACTTCTTGCCTTCCTTACCCACAACACGCTATAAAGGTTAGAAATGCCAGATATTTACTTACTCAGCTTCATCACAGTTGCACACGAGCCAATTCTAGATAATCTCTTGGGGGAAGTAGCGTGGCTCTGAGAAGTTTTTCCTTTCTATTAAAAGAACAGAGGTGCATGGAGAAAATGGCCCCAGCTTCTTCCGTCTTCCTTCACATCCTGCTGACAGGATACCTCATTTGATGCTATGGCAGTTACTTTACAACTACGAGAGGACAAACCAAGGGCAAAAGCCAATGTGCTGAGGACGGCGGAGTAAAAGGATGGAAAGTCCTGGTTCTTCATGACACAGCTGAGCTGGTGAACTAATAATCTAGGGCCTGCTTATCTCTGGACTTAGTCAAGTATCCTTCCAGCTTAAGCCATGGACTGTCAAGCTCTCTGTTGCTTTCAGACAGAATCAACCCAAATCAAACTCTGCAGGGCCTGCTGACTGACTGTGGAGGGTTTATAATAAAGAGAAATTTAAGTTCACTCCCAGGTTTCTGGTTTGGGAAACTACAACAAAAGTAGTGGCTTCTGGGCAGTGGCATGGGGTGAGAAGCAAGAATTTGAGGCATGAAAAGGAGAAAAGCGAAGAAGTGTGTTCCTGGACATGCTGATTTAGAGATATTAAGGAATCATTAGGTGAGGACATGTGTGATTCTGGAACTTGTTCAAAAAGTCTGAATTAAATCTGCAGATGTTTGAGAAGTCTGAACTACGACACCTGCTGACCTCACACTCTGTTGGAGGAGTCTAATAGAGACAGGCGTCAGAAGAGCAGAGTTCAGACAAAAATGTCCTTATTTGAAGAGTCCTAGAAAGTGTTTCTCTTCTATTAATACTCTGAAGATGTATAGGTACTAATTTATAATAAAATTGGTATAGGCCGGGCTCAGTGGCTTATGCCTATAATCCCAGAATTTTGGGAGGCTGAGGCCGGTGGATCACTTGAGGTCAAGAGTTCAAGAACAGCCTGGCCAACATGGTGAAACCTCGTCTCTACTAAAAACACAAAAATTAGCCTGGTGTGGTGGTGTACACCTGTAATTCCAGCTACTTGGGAGGGTGAGGCATGAGAACTGCTTGAACCTGGGAGACAGAAGTTGCAGGGAGCCGAGATTGTGCCACTGCAATCCAGTCTGGGTGACACAGTAAGAAAGTAAATAATAAAGTTGGTAGAAACTTGTTTACACAATGAATTTACACTATAAAACACTGGCGTATTTTTATCTTACAAAAATTCATTAGTCAAGATAACCCGAATAGCACAAAAATCTGGATCTATGAAGACTGCTAAAGCGACTACACCAGAGATCTGTCTTGGTAATGGAAACTAATCTGAATCACCTGCTTTGCTATGTATGTCAGTAAATTAGGAATATGTGAACAAGCTCATTCCCATGACTCAGAAAGTAACTCCAGGACATGTTTTATTGGTGGTAGATTACTCCAAAGTACAGAGAGGAACATAATCACTGAGAATGCAGCAAGCAATAATTTAGGAGCACTATGCATAATTAAGTAACCTTTTGAGGATTACACTACACTTCCATGAGAAGGAAGTTAATACAGGTGACCCCAACAGAATTATTTTCATGCATATGACAAAGCTGTGGAAGAAATGATGCACAGCAGCCCAATCTAGAGAACAGGAAAAATACAATCAGAGCTGGAAAAGGTGACAATCTAACAAAGAGGCACAAGGACACATGGCAGGAGGTCCCTATAACCATGATTATAAGGCAACCCTAAGGTGAATTTTCAGTTTTCACATTTACAGAGTTTGAAGCAGACAGCTGATGTACTAGGCCTATACAGGTAACAGCAATTCTCATGCAAGGCATCTCTGATGAATAGGAAGAATTACCAAAGACGAAAGGAATCTACCCTTGGCATCAGGCAAAAATGTTTCAAAAACCAAAACTGACTTGAGAAAAATGAGTATAACAGATTGGTACCTCAATGCGTTAGTCTTCATTCTCAAACAACTGATCCCACTGTTCCCCTTCCTGAAAACTTTAAATGGTTCTGCTGGCTAAAACAGCCCCCTCAGCCCTTCACCCAAGCCCACAACTCATCTGACTAAAGAAGTTCTAATCAAACTTTCAGTTTTGGCTCCTTTCATTTATGCTATACTCTAACTATACTAGACCAGCTGATATTTCCCAAATCCAACCTGTGCTTTCCCTATTCCTGCCATGTTGTTCATGCCAACTGTTCTCTGCTCTTGTGGATGCTACCCATCCTTCAAGTTTCACACCTTTATTTTTCAGTATTCCCTGATCCCACAACTATAGTCTCCTCCTTTGCATCCTTGTCTGCTCTTATAAAAAACATGCTATTCTGTCTTGAATTGTTACCACTGTTGTATATCTCCTTTACAATACTCTAAATTCCTTAAAGAAGAAAGGACAATTAACTCATCCTTGTGGTTTCTACCAGGTCAAAATTACTAAGTAATGGTAGTTTGCTGAATAGTGACATAAAACACTCGAAGCCCTCAAAAGAAAAGATCAAGTTTATTAAAAGTCTAATAATTCGACTATTTATCATTCTGATAAACATTCAGATGCTTCATCTCCTGTTCAAAGGAAAAAGCAATATAAAGACATAAATGTAGAAATTATTCAGCAGAGAAGACAGTGAATCAGATTTTGATCTACAAATTCTAGATATTTTTAGTTTTCTGGACAGGCCACTTATTCTTTTCCCTGTCTGCTTCTTCCATAACTACCTATTTTACAAACCTGATGTGAGAAATAAGATCTTAATTAGTTAATATTTTAACATCGTTCAGAAGTCCTCCCGTAGAAAATACTGAATACTATCTCTAGCTTTTCCCAATCAACCAAAATTAGCAAAGATTTTCCTGATTCACAGAATGCCTAAAGTGTAAAGAAGACCACTATATGCCAAAACAATGCATTTTCATTTTCATATAAAAGGTAAGACCTTCTTCCTCTATTCTCACAAATTCTTTTAGGCTCTGAAACCGTGGCTTCTGGCCATTGTATACTCCTAATGTATAAAGGGGTGTAATATTCTAGGATAAAACGCTCACTGATCTCAAGAGCAGAATATATTCTAAAAGACAGTAATAGCTTTCATGAATAAAAAACAAATCAAATTCAGATAGGGGAAAGTGCACAAAAAGTAAAAGGGCTGTAAGAGTTTTGAAAAATAAAGGTGTTCAGCTGAACACAAAAAGTTTAAATCCAGAAAATTATTTCTCAACAAGCGAAACGGGCCAAAGAACTTAAAAAGGGCCATGGTTTTCTGGGATCTTTTGCGGCTTAGTCTCCTCTTTTTCTATCAAGCTCCACTTTTCTCAGTACGTTAACCCACCTGTTTTCACCTCCAGGCTCACATGAGAACTCAACAGAGGACTCATCTCAAGTGGTAGGCAGTTCCTATACCCTCTACACAATTCCCAGATATGGGATGAGGAATCTCTTTCTACCCAAGATATAACACTGTAAATTTAAAAACTTATAAATAAGACAAGGGAAAAAGTTTAGAACTGCGTAAGACTCCTGGCCTGTAGTATTTCTGCTCCCGGAATCTTTACGCCAACAAAAAAAAACCACGGGGAATTTTTCATTTGCCAGTCAACTTAGAAGGAGTTTTAGGCATTGCAGTCAAGAGGCAATCCATTCTACGGAACAAAAACCGATCAACCCAAAGCAAGCAAACACACCAAACATGCATCTCCATGCAAGGGCAATTCTCGACCGGGTGCTTTTTCTGGGGACATTTCAACTGCAAAAAACAGGCAAACCAGTTCTTGAACTCGATTCTGCGCGCTTGCAGTCCTCCAAAGTTAGATGACACCACAAACAACTTCTCCCTCTCCCTCTCCCTCTCCTATGGTCACGTCACCTGCTGCATCACCTGGAAAGGGGTCTTCAGGGTCTCGGAAAGGAGCACCACCAGGGTCTCTAAATAATTGGGTTGGGCTATTTTCCTGATAAACGCTGGCCTCATTCATATCGTAAAGAGGCTGCCTTGGACACACAAGGCAAGGGTGTTTTGGCTCCTGTTCACCTTGGAAGAGATTCTAGGACAGGCACCCGAAGGCTGTGGCTCTCTGGCTTTGGAGGGGCTGGGGAGCGCTTGAAGATTTAAGCCCAGCAAAGAGACAGACGGCTCGGCAGCAGCAGAGCAGCCGGGAGCGCAGGCGGTCGGGACGGGGGTCCCGGGGCAGCCCCGGGGGTCGGGACGGGGGTCCCGGGGCAGCCCCGGGGGCCGGCAGCGGGGTCGGAGGCGCGACGGGCGCTTTGCGGAAACGACACCGCTCGCCAGCCACGGGGTCGGGCCCAGGGCCGGGGTCGGGGCCAGCTGCGGGACGGGAGGGGGTCTAGCCCACCCGAGCTTTGCCCAAAACCGTCAGGCTGACCGGGTTCACCCGAGCGTAGACGAGTGCGAGGATTCGAAAATCACCCCAAGTCTCCCTCCTCCTCCCCGGCTTCCCCCAGCGCCCCAGCAGAAGGCGGAGACGCCGGGCAGGAAGCGCCGGGGGCCGGGGGCCGAGCCCGGCCGGCGAGAGGAAGCCGGCCTGGGCCGGGGCTCGGGGCCGCCAGGGGCCGCACTCACCATGTCGTACACGTTGAGCACCACCAGCTGGTTCGCCCCCATCCTCCTCCCCGCGGCCGCCGCCTCGTCCTCACGCCGCTCCGTCTCCGCGGGGCCGGAGGCCGCTCGCACCCCCGCGGGCGCTCCTGGGGGCCCGAGCCCGGCGCTAAGCGTGCAGCCCGGCCCGCGGCAGCCGCGGCGGAAGCATCTGGCAGCCGAGCCGCTCCCGGGCGCCGCCGACAGGAGCCTCTGCGCGGACGGGGCCGGACCGTTGGCGGCCCGCTCCGGCGGAGGCACCTCCCCTAGGCGGCAGACACGTGGGGAAAGGCGGGGCTGGGGCGAGGGGCGGGCGCCAGGCGCCCCGGGGGCGGGGCCGGCCCGGCGCCGGGGCTCAGCCCGCCTGCGCCCTGGTTCTCGGCCGCCGCACCTCGGGACCTAAAATGGCGGCAGCTTCGGCGCCTCAGCGTCCGGGAGGAACGGGGCCCCAGGAAGACTACAGTTCCCAGCATGCAGCGGGGATTCCCCCACGCTACTATAAACGCAGAGGCGGAGTCTTAACAGCCCTCGACTCCAACTCCCAGCATGCCGCGGAGGCCCCGGTCCTACCAGACCAGGCCTCCCCGGGAGACTACAGCTCCCAGGATGCAGTGCTTTGGAGCTGCGGCGGGTCCCTTGCAGTCCGCCGGCGGTGAAGCCTTCCACCTTGATTCACCCTCTCGTCGCCGGTGCTGCTGCTGTTAGTAGTTCATGTGGCGTTGAGCTCGGTGACGCCAACGAAATGTGGCAAAAGACTAGAGTGATGACCCTGTGTTTTCCAGATCCCTCCTCACTCGTCCTTGGGCCGGGGGAGGGGTGGGGAAGTAGAGGAAAGCGAGTGACTGGTGTGGGATGAGGTGTAACGTGCATCCAGCGAATCCTCGATGTGGAACTTGGGTTTTGCGAGCCTGTCCTGCTGAGATGGGAAGGGTACGGTAACCGCAGCCTAGCACGGTGCTGGGACGTAGCGGGCACCTTTGCGTTAATTCAACGAATATTCGCTGTGCGCCTCCTGTGTGCCGGGCGGTGTTGCAGGCCCCCGGGGGTGCCGTGATAAACAGGAGCAGGGACAAGCAGAATGTCACAGGTAGGTGCTTTGCAGAAAATTTAAATAAGGTGCAGTCATTGAGAGGCATCTTAAATTGGCTGCTCGGGGAAGATCGCTGTAATGAGATGAGTTTTAGGCTGAAATATGAATGACAAAGCCGGCCCCGCAGATAGGCGGGGGAGGAGTATTTCGGTCAAAGGGAACACGTGCGAAGATCTGAGGCATGAAGGAGTTTTCCGTATTCAAGGAAAACAAAAGACCGCTGTTGCTGGGACCCACTAGGCAAGGAGGCAACGGTATTAGCTGACTTGGGCAGGTAGGCAGAGGCCAGATCCAGGAGGATTTCTACATTCATAATAGGGGTTGTATTTTCAATGAATACCTAACTTTGGGCCGAGGAGTGAAATGAGCATGCGTGTGTTTAAAAATGATTACTTGGGTTGCTGTGTGGAAAACGGATTTCGGGAGGTGGAAACGGGGAGATGAGTGTGGTAGACTGCAAAAACAGCCACAAATTATTTCTAGTCTCCCAAATTATACTCGTTGGTAGTGTCTCTCCCCACTGACTGCACTGGACTGTGACTTGCTTTGGACATGGGACAGTAACATAATGCAAACAGAGGCTTAAGAAACACTTGTGAGTTGGAGCTTGCCCTCTTGCTGAACTTGGGAGTCCTGTGACCACCATCTTAGGAGTTTGGGCTAGCCTGAAGGATGCTGAGGGACACATGGTCAAGACATGGCCTATAACCAGGTGACATCCAACCAACTGTAAAGCATGTGAAGCTCTCCTCGACTTTCCTTCCCCTGGCCACAACCACACTGATCAGATGAACTGACCAGCCAACCCACAGAATGTGAGAAATAATCTTTTAAGTTACAAAGTTTTGGGGGTGGTTATGTGGCAAAAGTTAACTGAGACAACCAATTGGATGCTATTCCAGAAGTGCATGCCACAAAGTGGCTTAGTTGTTGCTGATAGTGCTGGAGACTGAGATAGTTAGAATTTAAAGTAAACTCTAGTTTTGGAATAAAGTCTATGGAACTTGCTAATGGCTTGGATGTTGAGTTGGTTAGGGAGAGGGGATTCAAGAATAACTTCTAGATTTTTGACTTGGGCAACTGAGTGGATGGTTTCGCCATTTGTAAGATGTGAAACATTTGGGGGAGGAGCAGGTTGGGAGGAGGAAAATCAAGAGTTACGGTTTGATCATGTTAAGTTGTCAATACCTTTTAGACATCCATGGCTGTCAAGCAGTAGACACTTGGGGTTTGGTTGGATGACCTAAGAATATGTGTAGCTAAAAAGAAGTGGGTCAAGAACAAAGCTCTGGGACCCTTCACCATGTAGAGGTCAAGTAAAGGATGAAGAGGCAGCATGGAGCTAGGAGGAAAATCAGAAAGAACATGGTAGCACTGATGTCAAGATTATTGGATTCAACAATATAGAGATTACTAGTAGCTTTGACCTGAGTGGTCTCTGGGAGGAGTGAGATTTAAATAACTGCTATAACAGTTTGAGAAGCAAATGTAAGGTGACAAAAGGGAGACAACTTAAACTTGGGGGCAACAGCTGGATAAGGCTGAGTGGTCAACGGGGGACTTTTTGAAGATGGGAGATGCCGAGGCATACTAGCATGTAAAGAGAGAGAAATTGATGTAGGAGAGGGCAAGATTTGCAAGGGTGCCAGTTTTATTGAGAGGAAGTAGCTCTCAGCAGATGGGGGAGCCAGAAAGGACACGGTTTTCCCCTGGGTCGGCCGCGTGGCAGCCGGGCTCTCCAACCCACTGATGCTCTCGCCGTCCAGCTGCCGGCGTGTTCTAGGGTCTTGGAGTTTTCACAGGCACAGGACGGGACCTGGCGGGCCAGGGTGTTCTTGGGAAATGCAACATTTGGGCGTGGAGGCAGGAGTGCCTGTCCTCACCCGGGTCGTGGGCACGGGCCCGAGGGTGGCGCCTTCACCAGGGCCCCGCCTTTCTCTCCCAAGCACTTCGCTGCGCTGCTTCCACGTCACCGTCATACTTTCCTCCGTGTTCTCAGCCACGCAACACTGGTTTTGTTTACATAAAAATAGGATCATACCACAGCGGGTTCTCGGTCGCTTGCTTTTCTCATGTATCAAAACCTTGTGGAAAAATCATCTAAGTCACTTAGCACAGACTCTGTGGTCAACGTACAAGCCTCATGGAGTCGACCATGCCCTGTTCACCTGTGGGTGGGTAGGTGTTAATTCAGTTTCCAGAATTTTGCCACAGCAACTAATGATGCCATCTCTCTGTCTGCATATCTGTATCGATCTATATGTATATCATCTACCTATTCATCCATCCATCTACACCCACACACATGTCCTGATATATTGGTCCTCCCCATCCCACCCTGTGGAAGGATTCTAACAGCGGGTTACTGGGTCCAAGAGAATATGTATTTTTAATTTTAACAGATTTTGCCAGATTGCTTAAAAAAAAAAAAAAACAACTATAGCAATTTACATTTCCTTCAGAACTGCAAGATAATTTCCTTCCTATCCCTTCCTCTCCCTGATTTCCATGGGGGGGAAGGTGTCAAAATTTATTATTTTGAGCATCGAAGTCAAAATTTATTATTACCCTTTGGAGCTTTTGTCATCAGGCGAAAAATGCAGCCATGTTGTGACTTTGGTTTGTATCTTTCCAACTGCCAGCCAAGGCTGACCTTCCGTAGTGGATACTTACCTGATTTTGAAGCCAGTCTACCTGAGTTTTATTCCAGCGCCATCACTTACCAATTATATGACCTTAAGTATATTTATTTACCTTCCTATGTGCCAATTTTCTCATCTCTATAATGGGATAATAATAGTTCTTGTTTCATAGAGTTACTGAGGTTTAATTATTACAACAGCTCCTGGCATATAATAAACACCAAAAAAAGTTGTTTTAAATGTACTTATTGGCTGTTTGGATATGTGCTTTCATGAGATGACCGAAACTTTGCTCATTTTCTGTTGGGTAGTTTGCCTTCCCCATCTAGTTTCAGGTCTTGTTTCACCATTTTCATTAAATATTTTAGTTTTCTTCACATAGGTCATGTACTTCTCATATTAAATTTATATATTTTGTAACTACAATGAATAGATTATTATTTTTATTTCTAACAGATTAGAACTATTAGAGAGGTAATAATTTGGCAATATTTGTCTAGTTAGAGCCATCAAATTGTCTTATTCTGGTAAAACGTTGTGAATTTTGGGCTTTCATAGCACATAATATTATTGCAAGAGAGGATTTTGTCTCTTTTTTCCCAGCATTGGTACTGTTTATTTTTCTCTTGTGATGTCAGAAGTTTCAAAACAGCGGTGAACAGCAGGTATGTCTGTCTTACTCTTGATTTTGGTGAGGTGAGAAATTCTTTGTGGACAACAGCTTTGATCTCTGCCTGTGGAATTTCATCTTACTTGTGATCTTCCACTCTTGATTGCCTGCACTGTGCATTTCAGACTTGTTTAGCCAGCCTCCACGATCACATAATCCCATTCTTTTAAAATACATCACTTTAGAGGAGAGTTAGTACACGTGCACCCACCCTTCCTTCTGGTTCTGCTTCTCTGTTGAATCCTGACTGGTACTAATACGAATTATGTAGAAGCCTGTGGTAATATTCGGACAAATTAAGAAGCTTATTTTGAGCATCAAAATCAAAATTTAAAACTTAGAATTCAAATTTAGGGCCAACTCTAAATTTTACAGGCTTACTCCTATAATCCTATCCAAGGCTGGAGGATTGCTTGAGCCCAGGAGTTCAAGACCAGCCTGGGCAACACAGCGAGACCCTGTCTCAAAACAATAATTAGAATAGAATAGAATAAAATAAAATAAAATTTAGAACATCAGCTGCTCATTTTTAGTATATCTTACATTTAATATATGAATTTACCAGTAGAAAAAATCGGTTTAGGGCAGGTTATTTAAATTCACACACCTTTGTTAAATCCTTCATACATAAATTAACCACAGCCATATAAGGTTTCATGTGAAAAGTTTCATGTAAAATGATACTACACACACACACACACACACACACACATATATATATATATATATATACATATATATATATTTTTTTCCCAGTAGCCCTATTGTCTAGCATGTGAGACACAGATATATTTTCAAAAACTCACTTTTATCCATACAAAGGACTGTAACAGTCAATTTATTTTTTCATGCCATATAAGAGTACATAGAGTACCTTAAAATGAA